CTCTTCCTGTCCTGGTCGGTCCTGGCTTCACCCTGTCTGGTTTCTTCTTAATCTTTCCAAATTTCTGCTTCGTTAAGTTGCCCTCTGATGCTTTATTTTCCTCACTCACTGCATTCTCTGAGACTTTCTACCATAACTTGTGCTTTGCAAGAACCGAGCTGTTCTCTGAGCTCTTCTAGTTCGAAGATGCTCCAAACTCTTTGTTGTTTTCCTTTCTGTCAACTGTACAAGAACTACAAAGCGTCTTGTCTTTTGTGGGAATGTATTTGATAAGCTAAAATTGGCTAATTATTGTGAAATACACCTTTGATCCTACTGCAGGTACACGCAGCTTTGAAGTAACAATCCTCTAAGTTCTTAGCTTGGCTGTCACTAAAATGCTCTAACCTCTTTTTCTAGGAGAATTATAACTATGAAGGTTATAAAATATTTGATGTAAGGGCAAGGTATTGGTTTTTTGAGCTTAAGTGCAATATTTTTTTGCAATAAATCATTCAAGAAAAAAAGCACCTTTGGCAAAAGCTGCCCTGGTCCAGTAGTAGAATGAACACAAAAGCACAGTACTTTAAGTTGGAGCAGACTTGTCTTGAGTTCCCATGTATTTCTGAAGTTATAGTACTGATAATTACGTTTTTCCCTGTAGTTTGGCTAAGGAGGTGTTTTATGTTCCAGGTTTCTCTTGTACATTAAAAGTATTTCTAGCAATTATAAAAATATATTGATACTTACAAAAGTACTTCTACTGTTGGACCATTATTCTCATTTTCATTTAGAAAGAAGACACTACATAACAATGAATCAGAAGGACATACCTTGTAACTAAAATACTTAAGCAATGTTTGCCAAGGATGATCTTTTTTAATTGACACTTTCAATTTTATTCATGAGTTCTGAGAGTTGTTTGCCCTGCAGTTTGTGTAAAATTGTTTTTGGTGCACCAGCATTCCTTGAGTTTTCTGAAGCACTCCTGATTCATCATTCAAAATGGGAAACTGTCATGGCTGATGGACCTATAGGTCACTTTAGTGCCTGTCCTAAGTAAAATAGATGAAGGGATTGTTATGAGTCTTGTTTGCTTATCCATCCATGTCAATTCATCTGGGTTGGTTTGTTTAAAGTCTTTCTCAACCAAGGCTGATTTCATTCATTGAAGAGACTATTAATGTGTTTGGTAAAGTAAACTACTTCAGTATGATGTACCTCAAGTTATGTAAAGCAGCTGACATGAAATTGTATTAGCCTTTGTGGTTTGTAATTAGCTTCGGGTGATTCAGTATAAATAAAGTGGAATTTGAAGTCAACTGGAAATTAAGTAATATTTCTGCAGTTTCCTGGAGGTTTGGGGAAGGAATAATTCCATTACATTTATTTCATTATGTTCTGTAACTTATGCTATATCAACTTGTCTTAAAATTTTTTATTAACCTGAAGATTAGCAGTGATTAAATAATGATAAGAGTAAGCAGTCATGTAAAGATCCTGCATTGCTGGTTAAGCTGGTAGTGTTTTTTAAATAGACCAAGTGAGAAGTTGTGTAACAAGTGTCAAACCTCTAAGTTTCTTCCATTATAACTAATTTAAGGGACTAAATACTATAAAAAGAGCATATATTCTTCTAACAATTAATACTCAGTTTATTGAAAGCTATGCTTTCTGCTGAATGAAGTATGTATAAAACCAAAATTTTGTTGGAAAGGCAGCTTAACCAGTTTTACTTTAGTATATGCTTCATTAGCTATTTGTTGTTTTCTCTCCTCTGATCCAGGTATTTCTGCATTTGTAGACGTTTGGTCATCTAACAGAACAGAAAATTACTCAAAAGCCTTTGAGCGGCAGCTTCTTGATATGGGAGCACAAGTAAGGAAATTACTTTGAAATATATAGAATAGGAAAGCTCTTAGTTACAAACTAACTTGCTTGTTCTGTTTGTCATGTCTTTGTAGTATGAGTTTTTAAAGTGCAAGAAGGAAGATAGTCACAGACCTGAGAACACATGAACATGCTGTAAAATTCTTGCTAGTGGCAGATAGGAAATGCATCTAAAACCTCCCCATATCTATAAACCTCTTTGTATATTAGTATGATGGCATGCATTTGTTGTGAAGTGTTGGGCTTGCCATGTACTGTGCATAAACCAAATCTAAGTGTTAAAACTGTGGTTTAAAAGTATGTGCCATATGTTGTTTTGTTTTCTTTAACTTGTAGGCAGCTGCTCTGTTGTTACTACAGTATTTTCTAACCCAAGTGCCGTGACACTTTATTTTTCCATTCACTATCCCATAAATGTAGTTCAACTCCAGAAAGTGCTAGTAGAAATACATGTAAGAGTCTTTGGCTATGTCTCAGTGATTTTTTTCCATATCAAGTATCATTGACTTGTAGGTGCAAAATATGTTTAACTGTCAGCTGTAAAATTTCACCTAGAAACCAAACTGTCATCTTCCCTTCTTTTATCACCAGTTAATGAGTTAACCTTCACATTATCACCAGTTAATGGAGATTTTTACAATCCACATCATGCTTTAAATAACATACATGAACTCCAAGTGCTTTTTAAGTGGGCTTGTGTAGGTGTACCTTACTGTAATTTAGAAAATTTTGCAGAACCTCTCTTTCTGTATAAATTTAGCTGATATAGCATGAAAGAACAGTAGAATAACTGTTTGTATTATAAAAGCAAACACAACTCTCAATAAATAGCTTGAGTAAGGAATATTTCTTGTTCTTTTGTACTGTACTATCAGATCTATGTAATTCTATTCTGATGATACTAGATTTTTTTCACAGAAAGCAGTTGACAAAAATTCTTTAAGTTGATCAAAAAGTAACTGGATATAGTGGAAGGTACAGGCAGATGATACAGATGAGGCTATTTAGCAGATCTCTGTGATGGAAAAAGGGTGATCCTGCTCCTTCGTTATTCTTGATGCTTTCCTTTTATTTAACTGAGCATATGATAGTAAACTGACTTGGATCACTGTCAGAAAATATAATTCTAAAACAGTTTTTCCCTAGACTGTTGATTCAGGCACCTCAACCTAATGTCCACTGAGCACCAGAGGATGTTCAGGGTAAGAGAGGAGACAGGAAAGGTGAGAGGGAGGTGTCAGGTGGTGCTTTCTCCATCATTTGGAGACAAAGCTAAATCAAGCATCTCTGTCCTTGGGGCATGGGCTGTGAGCCAGATGCTAGCATAAGCAAGTAAGCAGTTGCATCATAACTTATTCCAAAAAAAGATTCATTGATCCTGTATACCTGGATACTTAAATATTAGGATTTTTTGTCTTCTGAGCTTGCCATGAAAATTTTTTTGAAAAATAGTTTTCTTAAAGCCAAATATAGATCCAACATGTTTGGAACCAAGTATAGTGATGCAATTGAGAGTGCAATGTAAAGCTACAGAGCTATTTCCTTTTGGGTGTGCTGCTGTAAAATATGAATTGTGTTGATCTCACTGTGTCAGCAATCACAGCAACTGATCAAACAGTTTTATGTGTAGGATGTTTAGTCTATACAGAAGGAAACTTTGGTTGTGAAGAATCTAGAACTAAAGAAGTTATCACATAGCTGTCAATATAGGCTAATAACTGAAAATTTGATCAGTGTACAACACAATGAAAATGTCAGGTATTATATTAGCTGTACTGACTTAAGTTTTCTTTATTTGTTGCTTTTTAAAGTGTTCCTTTTTGTTTGTTTGTTTGTAGTGCCTTCAGCCTTCCTTCAAAACTAAAAGTGATCTTTATTGATGAGAATTAGCTTAAAGGATGAGGTTAGCTGTAGTCTTTCAACCTGTGAGTTTGTTGCTAAATAAAATATGTAATTTGCTATTTCTTTGGATAATGGCAACTACTTTCTGTACTGGCTGTTGCGTATGAAATTATGTCCAGCTACATAAATAAAAATGTTGTAAGATTAGTGATACAGCTAGAGCAGGGAGGCAAAAATGGTAATCTAGAGAAAAGAAGTTTGAAAACAAAAGGCTACTTAGCCTTCTAGCATTCATTATATTGGCTTGACTAATGAGACTTGAGTTTTTATTGCTTGAGGCTTCTTGTGAAAATGGGAAAGATAAAAGTTCTTGACATAATATTTAGAATAAGTTTTTACACTAATGGTTTATACATTAAAAATGGACTACAGTAGCTAGTTTCATTAGCATTTCCTGATTATCAGACTAAAAGATGAGCTTTCTGTATTTCTGCAGGTTTCAAAAACTTTGAACAAGCATGTGACCCATGTAGTCTTCAAAGATGGACATTTGGCTACATGGAGAAAAGCACAGAAGATGGGCATAAAACTAGTTTCTGTACTCTGGGTGGAGAAGTGAGTACTCGTTAATATAATGAATGTGACCCATTCCAAAGTTAATATGTTTTAGTATTGTTTTATTTAAAAACTTAAATACAGTACTTGGGTTTTTTTAACGTACTTGAAACAGTGATAAACCTATGAGTAAACGATAACTTACCTATGACATTATTCCTATTATAAAGCTTGTTACTTGCATAAAAAGGTAAAATGTTAACTCTTGAAAAATGAGTGTGTTGAAGTAGTTCTGTAGTATATTTTTAACTAGTCAGTGTTCCACTCCTTTGCTCTCAGATAGCATGCATTGGCAGTGAAGACCAGATGAGTTGAGTAGAATTTTTCCATTTTCATGTGAAAACACATTTCATCAAGAATATTATATTGTTTCTGTACTTAACTCATGTAGATAGAATATCTCCTAGCAAGAAAGAAAAACATCCATATGTAGTCTTGCTTTTAAGACATTTGGTAAGTTCAGAGCAGCACTGCTTGGAGAGTCTCAACTACCATATGGAAAAAATTAAATTTAAAAAAAAATAAAAAAAAATTTCAGCTGTGCAGCCAGTCCATAAGAATTTATTAGTCCATAGCAACTTCCCTGAATTTACAAAGTGGTTGTGAGGCCTAACTTAGATTTCAGATGAACGGTAAAACCACTTACAGTGTTTAAGAATATGCACATGTTGTACTCAGACACTCCAATTAATAAATTGCTGTGAGGTTGGAAATTAGAATATCTAAATCACGTAAAGAGGCCCTTTCCCATACCAATTCTAATCTGTGTAGAGAAATAGAAGTCTGCTAAATGCAAAAGTGAAAAAAGAAAAGGGTGGGGAGAGGCAAAACTGAGCTCTGCAGCCACCTAAATGTAGGCCATTAGAACTGCAATACCTATGATGCAAGTCCATTAGCCAAAAAAATTCATACAGTTCTGCTGAAGCAAGATTTTTCTTTTTCTTTTTTTTTTGTTTTTAAGAATGTCAGAGATAGAAGTTACAGCTGCACAACTCAGACAGCTTTAACACCAAGGAAGAAATACTTTAAGTTCTCAGAAGTGAGGGTGATACAAAATTTTATTTATGTGAATATATCTTTCTGGGACCTGGCGCTATCTGAGTGCGTGAAAATGATGGTCATTTCAGTAGGAATCTTTGGTTATAAAATTAAATATGTTTTTCAGGTGATTAAGAGTATAAATACAGAATTTGAAATGTTAGTCACAGGAACTATAAACTATTTGAGGACCCGAATGTGCTGTAGTAAAAAGGATCCCAAAAAAGTCCTGGTGAGTAGCATTTGCCATGGAAAAAGAATGAGGAAGCTGTACAGAGGGGAGTCGAGGCTGTGTCATACAGAAATGCTGTCTCTGTCATAGCAGTTCCACCATGAGAGTCTTCTCTGCAGCACTGAAGGGTATTGAGTGGATGAATGCTGTTGAAAGCTCAAACATAGAGACAGCTGGATATGTGATATGGTGGGGGACAGCATGGATCTTTGAGATACAGGTGTAAAAGCCTCAGGAAACTTTAGCTGTTGTGGGATACCAGCAGCAAAGGAAAAGACAAGAGAAAGGATCTGGAGGGAAAACTTAAGCTGTTGGTAGGAAGGAGAAGGCTAGCATCTTCCTGATGTTTTTTTGAAGTTCCTAATATCATGCTCTGGACAAGGTAAGGTCTTGGTAATAAGATGTGACCTGTTGGAACTAGGGGAATCACCTGAAGTAGGGAGATGTATGTTACTGCAGAGAAGAACCCAAGCCATGAATTATAATTGCACTTCTCTGTAATCTTCTGCCTTTTAGTTTAAAGTTAACGTCAAAAGGTACACAAGAACATACAACTTAGATTGATGTATACTCTAGGCAGAATTCGTAGGAATTCTGAGCAAGGTATAGGTCAGGAGTGGTAGAAGCTTGCATAAGAGATAGTAATGAGCTGTCTCACTAGTCGTAGGGTTATTCCAATGAGACACAAACAATACAAAATTAAAATGAGCCTGTGCTAGCATACATACTAATTTTTGTAATAGGATGAGGGAACTGGAGTGCCTGACTTTAAATTAACATGCCCAGTATTTCAGTATCTCAGGGATTTGGTAGGGAGAAGACAGTCTCTTGAGCCCTGAGACAATGTAAACACGAAGGACTGAATAGGATGTGCCAGTAAAACAGGGATCCTGTATGAGTGGAAGCTTAGTTTGGACTGGATAACTGAGTCAGCAGATATACAGAGTTCATATGAGTTGAAGTTTTAGTGTTTCTAAAGAAAGATGGCTTGATTAACCAGCTGCTCCATTCAATAGCAAAGGGAATGTTCTCAGAATGGTCAGAAATGCTGTGAAATCTCATTGCAGGAAATGTAATACTAAGGGGCAACTTTCTAGCATAGGCTGGGGATTGGGTGACTCTTGTTGGAATGCAGCATGAAGCCAAATATTTTACTTATTGCTTGGTCTTCATTGTTTTGTGGATGGTTTTTCTAATTATCTCAGAGAACCTTCTTTTAAGTATGGCCACAGTATAAAACCAGTGTTCATACTGGAACACCAAAACCTAAGTTCTGTGACAGTGCTCCAATTTCAAAAGGAGTCTACTTAAAATGGGAGAAGTGATGTTAAGAAGAAGCTGGGACAGTGAAGGGAATAAAATTCTTGCTGATGTCAAGGAGACTACTTAAAGCATAAGTCCTCTTGAGCATATCAGAAAAATGATGATCATCACATTGTGTGAGGAGAAAATTAAGGGTTTTGGGACGTACAGTAAATGTTTTCATAGCATTGTCACCTCAGCAGTAGTCAAAAATCAAATGAAATGGAACATAAAAGCTCATGTAGTGGAGTGACAGCATTTTATCATGGTTACATTTGGAATGTTGGCACAGGATGGCAATGAGCATGACTGAAGCTATAAAATAGTTTTCTCACAAGTTGTGATTGAGCAGCCAAGAATGCTTCAGCCTGGAAAAGAAGTGGGAGTGGAGAGGGAGAGATTTGTGGATGTAAAAGCTCATATGGAGAGAGAGGCTGAATAGACAGTGAGTGTATAGTATTCCAGGAGAAGAATTGGAAAGCATCACATCAATGTGTCTGAAGACAGATTCAGAGAAAACAGTAAATAATGATTTTTAGTAAAACATGGTTAGGCTGTGGAATTCTTTGTTGCAGAATCATAATCAGCAAAGACATGGGTTTAAAAAAATGCTGAAGCAATTAAACATCTAGTTTTTTAAAAAACAAATACAGTATTACATCTGACCATCTTTAAACCAGAAATCTGTGGAACGTAGCAAAGTAAACTGGGAATGTTTGGCTGTGTTTTCATGTATGTACATGCTCTTGGGAATCTTGATATTGGAAACTGGATGCTGAAGTATATGATATTTAATCTGGACACTACTTTTTGATGTTTGAGCTCTGAAAACACCAGACAAGGAAGCAAATAATAAACAATTATTCCAGAACTTCCTGATTCTTCTGCTTTCTGCTAAATACTCTCCCACTTAACATGTAGTAGAGCCCTACTTCCAACCTGTTATGTATGTACACCAGTGTTATCTTCCCCTCAGCAGTACATGAGCCTTTCAGAGCAGCATGTCCTATGATCTGAAAAATACTATAAAACTCACTTTTCTCCGTAAATGCCAGCACAGATTACAAAGGTTTGTGCAGTATTTAGTGAACATTGCCTTGTTGAACTCTTACTGGATTTCTCGTGCTCTCTCCAATGATCTGCCTGCAACTTGTATTAGAAGCTTCTGCTTTAAAGTACAAGTATCTGACTGTACACTGAATGCAGTTCTACAGTTTAACAGGCAATATTTTTATTGGGAAGTAGACACTTCAAAATAAGATTACTTGAAATTAAAAAAAATTTGTAACTCCAAAGTAAATGTATTTTTAATTAAATATTTTGCTTTCTTTTTTGTTTTTCTCAGAACAGTAGATTTGTCTAACTTTAAGAATGGTGCACAAAATGATGGCCTTGCTATAAGATTCATGCAAATTGTAAGTTTAATGCAAAATAAGTGACAGCTTTGGGATCACTGAAAAACTTTTTTTAGTGCTTCTTCAACTCAGATACCTCACTAAGCAACCTAAAAAGAAAAATCTAAACCAACAACAATAAAATAGAATTGCTGCAACCTCTGTCCAAATTAAGAACACTTCATATTTCCAAATCAAACCTGTAGCTGGAAAACTCCACATGTGTATTCTTAGTATGGTAATTCACTCATCTCACAAATAAGACAGATAAATTATTTATATTCAGACTTTTCTACAAAGTTGAAAAAAGAAAATCTATTTAATGAACAAATTTTCTTCTGTTTAGCTTCTCTGAATCAATGAAATACCTGAATGAATGTAAATTTTAATGTAATCTATATCTTTGCTGATTATTATCCAGAATTTAATAAAAACTACTGAAGTCCAGCATGTTGAATATCATCTCTATTTGATGCTGCAGAGAACTCTAAACTCAGTTAGTTTGACAAATACACGTAGTGGTTTGACTTTTTCCTTTATTCAAAACTGAGTAACTACGCATTAGGTTATAATTTTATAGCTACGGACTTTATAGCAGTTAGATCACTAGGTGTCACTAGAATCACAGTTTTAAATGACTTCTGGGGTAATTCTAGTGTAGTCTTATTAGGGTTCCATACTCTTTTCCATAATTGGTTTTATATTTTATTGCTTGAAAATAAAACTGTATTTCCTTATTTTGATCGAAAGATCTTTATGTATTAATAACCAAATTCTTGTCTTCACATCGTCTTTAGTGTTCAGTAAATTGTATCGTATTCCAAAATAACATTAGTCCCACTGTTCTCAAGTCAGTTTTTGAAATGAAAAGCCAGGAAAAAGTAGGGGTAAGGTATCAGTTCGATTCTTGATTTTGTAATTTTTTAAATTTTGCATGAATACAGATTGCTTCTCAATAAATGTGCTGGTTTTAGCACTGTATAAACAAAGAGAAGGCAGAAAACAGACTAATGGGTAGGATGAAAAAAAACAGAATCAGTTGAAACTTCCTTCCTCATTTGCCTGAATAGAAGAATTTTTGCCTTCCCCACCATGACATTCTGTAGACTGTAGTTGGGAATTTACTGTCATCACAGTGACCAAGTGAAGGTTAAGTTCACTTGCGAGTGAACAATGAAAGCCTACAGTCCTCACAAGTTGGGGCAAGATTTGAGATTCATGAGAATCTGTCCAGAAGGACTTGATACAGTTGTTTTCTAAAAGCATGGAAAATATGAGTGGGACTCTTAAGTTTTGGAATGGCAATTTAAAGAGCATCATTAGAACAAAAAATTGTATCATGTCATGTATTTGGTGTGTAATGTAAAGATAATTTTTTTTAGCATTGAAGTAGTTATTCTAAAGATACACGCTTAGGAAGACTTGGTAGTTCATTTTAACAGGGCTCAGACAACTCTTTTTGCAATAAAGGTTCTCAGTCTTACAAAAAAACCCTCAACCAACCAACCAACAAAAAAACCCAAAACCAAACACCCTAAAAAATCCACACCAAACCTCCTTTAATTTATTATACAGGTGTCAAGAAACTGGAGTGTGTGTTGATGAATCCTTATTTCATGCAATAGACCCTGATGAGGAATCACCACTGCTGAGAAAAAAAGTATGTGATTTTTTTTAAAAAAAATTTTAATAGGTGTGGAGTAGTAAACTTTAAAGTTTTAACTTGACTTTCTGACCTCAGGCATTTGAACTGTTTATTTTCAGAACATTCTGTAAACTCTACCTATACAAGTAGGTTTTTAAAGGAAGGCTGTGGCTGTGATGACACGACATGTGAAGAAAGGATAATAAAAGTAGAGTTTCTGTATTGGTGAAAAAAGAAATTAAGATTTAAATTAATATTACATAATTATTAACTAATCAAAAAAACATGACTGCTGTGTGACTACTGTTTCACTGAGTTGCAGCAAACCCTAAAATCCTGGTATTTAAAAATAAAATAAAAATCAAGGTTTATCTTTGCTACAAGTAAAAAAGAAAAGATGGAGACTTACATCTCCTTTTTACTAAAATCTAACCTAAAAAAAAATTAGGTTCTTTCTTTCATTTTAAAGCTCACTTTGGAAAATATAACTTCTACGATTATCTGTGACTCTCAAGGAGGTGATAATAAGTAGCATAACTGCTGATAATAAATACCATGATAAAGTGGCAAGCAAATAGAAAGTGTAGTTACTTCTGGCAGTTTTATACCATATGATTAATAGTTTCATGTGTCTTGTAGCACAAATGTATGCAGCCAAAAGATTTTGTTGAAAAACCTCCAGAGAATAATAGAAGGCTGCAGAGAAGACTGGACCAGATGGATAAAGAATTAGCTGTGCAAAAGTTAGCAGTTAATGCTGGTAAGAACTACTTTGGACTAAGATTGAAATATCTTATTTCTTTAAAGCATTTGATGGGTTTTGTGGGGATTTTTTGGGAGGGGGAGGCAGTTGTTGTTTGCTTGTTTGTTAGCCTTTTATGCATCTCACCACAAGAAATAAAGTTGACTTTTTACAGAGTTCTTTGCAAGTTTATGGTATTGTGGCATCTGAAGTGATGTTAGGTATAAGGAACCTGGTTTTTTCGGGGTTTTTGGTTTTGGGTTTTTTGTTAAATCATCTGAAGCTGTTATAGCACGTAAGGATTAATGTACAAAAGCAATTTCTTTGTGTAGAAACTGATGTACCAGTTTTACTATTTGAAGACAATGGTTCCCTTGCGTACAGCCCTGTTAATAAGATTAAAGATCCATGCAGAAGAATAAAGATGAAGGAAAAAAGAGAAAACATTTCTCTGACTGGTAAGGGGATAAGTTTTACTTTTCCATGAGTATGCACAAATGGCTATCATCTTTATTGTTGAATTTTTGGCGTACTTGTCTTGCTCTGGCCTTTAGAACTTTTTTCATATTTTACTTGATTGCACACCCACCCTTCTTCCTAGGTTTCAAGTAGGCGTGAGTGCTTTTGCTTTTAGTTTCTTTCTATCGAAGAGCACAAGAATTCATGGAAGACAGTGGTTGCAAAAAGGAATTTCTTATTGCTAGACTGCCTAAGAAGACTAGTGTTTAAGCCAAATTTTGTAAACATGTAAATTGAGTTATCATAACTTGGTTAAACTTTACAGTAAGACGCTGAATCTTATTTTCTGTTCAATTTTAATGTGAATGCTGTACTTGACAAAGATTGTAATGTTATTACTCCCAGGCCAACAGTTTAGAAAGGAGTCCAGAATTGATCAGACATCTGTCCAGGTATTGAAGAACAGGATTTTAAGATACAAATTAATTTGAATGACCTAATTTAATAAATCCAGTCTATTTCAAAAATGCAGCTGAATTAAATCTACAGAGCAGTTTTCAAATAACTTTATTTAGTTTTTGCATTACCCTACTGTGAAAGTATTGAGGGAGAAGTCATTGGGATTTGCCAGCTGAAATGTGGGGAAAAAAAAAAAGTGGAACATCTTTTGAGGGGGTGGAAATCTGTAGCATTTTAAGTTTTAAGAAGCCTATGTCAACTAGACTGTCTGTTTATAATTTCAAAAATAATTGTGGGAGGAAAGTAAAGAACCAGTGATATGTGGATGAAAAATTAAATCACATTTATTTTGACAGGTCTTGTATTTGTTTTCTCTGAGTTTTAAGGTAATACCTTCAAGCGTTTTGAGAAGTATTTCTGCTATATCAAGGCTTTGCTACTGTTAGCAGAATTTGTCAGATTCTTTAGTGAAATGCCTCAATTGGCTTAGAAAGGTCTATAATATTTTCTAAATGGTTTGCTGTCATTCTTTAGTTTCAGAAAAAAGTAGTGCTGAGTTATCTAGAAAAAAAAGCTTAAAATTGTAGAATAATGGCTTTTTTGTTAGTATGTGAATTTGAGATACTGTTAAGCAGTCTGTAATTATATGGTTATAGTTAGTTAGCAAAGCAATGAGTTGTCTTACAGTTGAGTTGTTTTGAAATATGACTAGATGGTGTGGAAATTTGTATGTTTGCAAATAAGGCTAACTAGTTTATTCTTTACAAATTCCTAGCTTCACCATTGTTTCAGATACCTCCGAGTAGTTCACCAGGAGACTGCTCACTGTCTACTTCTGCCTTAACTAATTCAGAAGATGCCTTGTTACCAGGTAACTTAATACAACTTTATATAATACAGAAATTAAAAATAATACATGGTCTGTATATCTTATTTTGGAAAATACAGCATACTGAAATGGGAACTGTATATATTTGCTCTATCATTTTTATTTAAAGCTGAATTGTTTTAATTTTTCTTAACTGGCAAATTATGTAGAAGAGTTCAAGGAAAACGGAGCATTAGGAATCAAATTGGGTAGATGCTGTGCCTTACTGCTGTGTTGCTTGCCTCGCTTCCTCCTCTTTCCTCACACCGTTCCCCATTAATGGGTTCTTATCCTGGCATGGTGTCAGTCTTCTCTGCTCTTATGGTCATCTCATAGAATACAGGGGGCATGCTAAACAGTGTGATGTGAGAAGCCAAAAAGAGAACTGAAATGTCTTCCAAATTTTCAATCTAAAAGCTTGAATTTTAAAAGAAACCTAATGTGTTTTCCAGCTTAAGTATTCAGGGATCGAAGAAATAGCAAGTGTGAAAATAAATAGGCTTTTAAAATGTTTTATGGTTGCAGATGAATTCAAGTTGTCATCAAGGTTCTTATTCTCATAAAGCTAGGGTGTTGTTAGTGTCTTTCCGCGTAGTAGCAGGATATAAAGGAGACGATTATTGTGAAGGCTGTTGAGCTATGTTAGTGGACATTTTAAAAGCATCAATCGCATATGTAATGCGTATGTACTTCAGACCTCATGTTTTCTGTCAGTCATGAGCAAAAAGCTGAAGTCAGACGCTGGTGTTTGATCTCAGTAGAAAAGTAAGGAGAAGACAGTCTTTAGCATTCATAATGAGAGCCACTTGAGCAGTCTGCCTACTGTCTGTTCTACTCCAACAGTAAGCTTTATCTCATGCTGTTTTCAAGTGTTGTATTTGTTGACATCATACAGGAGTTGTCATGCTCACTTACATGAGAACAGGAGTGGTATTTTGTACCCTGAGACAGCTTGATATGTCTTCATGCAATGTTAGGGAGAAGTAATAGCTTAATGCTAGAAGTAACATAGTTGTGCCAACAAACTATTTTATTTTGATAAATTAGTTGTTTGCTGATGAGGTTGAACATGGTGATTTGAGTGCTTTGTCTTGAGTGTGTTCTTCCAGCATTACAACTGCACAATGTAATTTTACATTAAGGATAGACCTCCGCATCTCATGACAATATTCAGTGTGGCTTCCATGTCGGATGCTCTGTGACAGTGACCCTTTTGTTTGTGCTTGCGAGACACATGAGAGTATGTTGGTTAAAAAAGTTCAAAAATCCAGTTTAGTTTGAGGATTCAAGTTAAGACTCAATTGCTAATATGGGAGCCTGATCATGTCATGTGAAACTTATCCTTTCATCTCTGTATATTTCGTTTATCTTAATTTAGCTAACAACACTATATGTTAAAAATATTGTTTATATTTAGTAAGCAAATAACATCAATACCTCCCCTAAAGTCTATAAGAGCACTTACAGAAGGAATATTTCTGAAACTTTGAACTAAATGTTTATTTAAACAAAAGCATCTATTGCAATAATCAGATTGTAGAAGAACAGGATTTTAAAAAACGTATTCTGAATAATCAGAGATACTAGCCTGTTTCAGAAGAATTTATTGTGAAGAGTTATGAGTAGATTTGGTATCTCACCTCCCACAGAGTAATTTCATTATTATTTATAAGATATTTATATTAGAATAGCTACAATAAATGATATGTTTTTCCACATTCTAATTATTTTTAATACATTGTGTTGATGTATGTGGTCTGATACTATGATGTATTTAATTTTATCTTAACTGCAAAAACTGCAAGCTGATGGTAATGGTGTGGAAGTAAAAATGATGATTGAGTTTCTGGTATTGCTATAGCTAGCTCTATCAGTGTAAAATTTTGCTGATTTTGTCCACAAATACAGGATTGAAATAGAGTTCCTCTGCTGCTCTGTTTCAAGACAGCAGAATAGGACTTATGGGTACTTATTACCACGTAAGAAGATGCGATAGCTAAACCTATTGTAGCTTCTTGTCAGCATAGAATGTGCTTTGTTTCTAATCAATTTTGTTTAGTTTCTGAGGACTTGCCGTATAATATCCAGAGTAGTGGTTAAATCCTTGTTTTCTTCTTTCAGTAATTTCATAGGTATTTCACTAGGAAATTGGTATTCTGTTTTGTTAAATACATTTGTATTGCCACTTTTCTTATTTTGCAGAAGAACAAATGAAAGAGTGCTTGAACTCAAGTTATGATTATCTTTGGGGAACTGATAAATTAAAGAGACAGAAAACAGAGGTAGTAAAACCCACCTGTGATACTTCAACTGATGTTCATGTATCTGTGAGTGCATCAGTGAAATCTCCCTCATATAGCTATGAGCAGAAGAGCTTAACTCCAAAGAACCGTAGCAGAAGAAGCTTAAGAAAGAAACAGATTTTGGATGATAAATTGTCTTTGGAAAAGAAAGATCTAAAAAAGTTTCCAAACAAAAATCATAAGGATGAAAATAGCATGACTACTTCAGTTGCAAATGAAAGTTCTCTTCTCCAAATCAAGGGCTTATATGATATTACTCCTTCCAAAAAAGTAGTCAAGTTAAATGCTGTGACTGCTTTGATTGACAGTCTCTTTAGTTCACCTGTGGACAGTGAAGACTTAAATACGTGTTCATTGGATAGAAGCTTTCCTGTTTGTAGAAATTATTGTATTCTTGAAGACAAGAAGAAGAATAAAGTACAAATGCTACCTGGTTTGGAACTGGCTACCTCAGAACTGGGTGCATCAGGGTCTAAAGAGTTCTTGGAAGCAGTTAATATGTCTAGCAAGGCTTTTTGCACTGAAGAGGCTTCTTACGAAGACTATTTTTCATCATCTAATTTGAATGTGAGTTTCAGTAAGACACACATTACTTCCAAGAAAAGTAGGAAAAAGTCTGTTCTAGCAAATGATGTTTTAATGGAGAAAAAGTTCAAACCAGCTGAACATCCTGGAAGTGTGCCATTAAATTATATGTCAGATGGTGAAAAATCTGACACTGCAGAAGCTCTAGACTGTGATGTGAATAGGCTACCTCAGCACGCTCATGAAAAATCCTACAGAAGCAATGTGAATGACTGTACTCATACTACTGGTAAGTAGCTACTTAAAGCTGGAAAATGAAAAGATATCATAGTGCATTAGATATATTAATGCAATTAAATTGCAAAATGAACTGCCTTTCCCAAGGGAAAACTATTTCAGAATTACACCAAAAGAAAATGCTGCAGTGCTGACTTTATTTTTGAGTAAAATAAATGAGTGCATGGGATCCAAAAGAACACCTCTTTGTTTTGCCATATATTACAAACATGAAGGAGTCACCAGGAGATAAGGAAACTGCTCACAAAATGCAACAAAAGTAATGTGAGCCTTCTTTTTCCCTAATGCTTGGTATTCTGTAAATTTTCTGCTGCAAGAAACCGAAGTCTTTCTGTTTTAAGTGTGATTATGTATTTCTTAATGTCAAAGAACAGTCTGTTTTTCATTAAACAATCATGAAAACAAATGGGAAAGGAGAAAATGTTTATTCCTTTTAAACTTAGGTATGCCAGTTAACTTTAGAGTTAATTCTAAATTTTAAATTCTAGTGATTAAATTATTATCATCAATGTTCCAGTATCTTATGCTTTTATATTCTCACTGGACAGGTTTTTAAGAAAGCAGATTTTGGAGGAGGGGAAAATAGAACAGTATTCAGTAAACAAAAGTTATCCAATGTTTACACTTTTTATTCTTTTTGTTAGAAACTTCTGTAAGTCTCAATTTGTGTTTCTAGTTATTTTAACAGTATTTGTGATTTACCAATGATGGCTATTTTCTCAAGTATAATGTATTCAGCTTCTCATGTCTGTTGTGTAGTCAAGTAGAATGTCACATTTGGCAGCTCAAATGAGCTCACTTAAAATGGAAGGAATCAAGGTGAGTTGTATTTTCCCTAACAATGCAAGTTTGGTAGAAGACAATGAAAATCTTGTTTTAACCTTACTGCTGTGATGCTGTATGATGGAATAATTGATTTTTATTAAATAGAGATTTAAAATTTCCCTTTTTTATCTTGACTGTAACTTATTTCTTCTTCCTGTTAATTAGCAAACAAATAGTAAATATGTTTGTTATTTTCAGTATGTTGTATGTGATTTGAAAACTGGTAAAATACAATATATAATTTTTAAAAGCTAAAGAAATCTTTTCACTCAACATATATATACAGTTAGGAGTAATTAAAGATCTATACAAAATTTAATTATATCTCTGTGTATATATCCTTTCTTTCCTGTAAATATAAAGAACCAATGAAGGGAAAGCATAACTGGAAAGAGGTCCAAGCATACAGGTCTTGAGACTTTAATCCTAAGTAGGACAAGATCTGTGGAGCTTGAACATTCAGGCCAAGAGTGCAAAAGGAGTATTACACCACTTCTCAATGCCCCACTGCCCCAAGCCACCCCTCCAAGAAAACCTAAGAACAGTGAGTGGATTGCACTTTTACAGTGATTGAAATGACTTACTGGAAATTATCAGAGACGTACCTTGCTTTACCCCCATCTGCTTGGGGTAAAACAACAGAACAGATGATCTCCTGACATCCTTTGCAGTTTGGTGGTGTGTTTTTGTTTGTTTTGGGTTTTATTTAGATTTCAAAGTACATGCTTAAAAGAATATTTTTTCCAAGTAAAAAGAGTTAAATTAATTTCTTATATTTTTTTAATTGTATGGCAAGATCTTTCTTCTTCCATTTGCCATCCGTCTTGGTCTGTGATTGAAGATGATATACCAAATAAAATAAACATAGTTAAGTAATTAGTTTTTCCTTTGTTAAATGGCGCTTTGTGTTTAAATATTGGGTTTAAATTAATGATTGTACCTGAAAGCCAGGTTTACTTGTATTACATAAAAATTACTGTAATACTGTGTAAATTAGTGTGGAACTTGCATCTTCAATGTGAAGAAGTGATGGAATTTTGGCTATTTTAAAGGTTATAATTTTAAATTAAGTAATCATTAATGGAAAATGTTTATCATAATTTCTTGTGTTGTAATTTTTTTCTTTTTCTGTCATCTCAAGGATTAAGAGTTCAAGTAGCTGACAGGAAAAACAAATATAAATCCATAAATATGGATAGCACACTTCAGTATTTTCCAAAAGTAATCAGAAGAAGCTTATTTGGGAGGAGCTGAATTTAGGCTAATTTAATCACTAATTATTGAATTTTAACTGGTCTCTTGAATATCTTTGAAATGAAAAATTTATGAATGCCTTGAAATAGACTACATTGAATTAAATTTGGGGAAAATTATCTACTTAAATTTCTATTCATTGAAATTTCATTAATCAAAAGATTGATCAAAGTTTTTCATCTTATGCAAGCACCCTAATATCTCAAATTATTCAAAAGTTTATTATTTAGTGCTTATAGAAGTCATCTTGACAATGTTGAAGAATTAAATTTATGTTAATTCACAAAATAGGTCATGAAAAATACTGCTTTTTGGCAGCTACTTTAGAGTACATTCTTATGGATGGTGCCTTTTTCTAAATAATTAGACTTATGTACTGCAAGCACGTGCATTCCCTGCCTTCTAACAGCTTGAAAACATGTTTCAGACCTTAAAGTCATTTCAAATAAACAGTGTGTACTGAAAGCATTGACATTTCAATAAGAAAGGAAAAATGTAGCCACCACTGTTTCAAATTTTCAAATACCTCTGTGTTCAGAGAAACTGCAAATTGCAAAATAGAAAGACATTTAGCAGATAATTGTGGTTATTGTGTTTAAATACAGTGTGTTTAATATATGGCTTTCAAAATACTGGGAATTGGAGTTTTACAACTAGTTTGTTTACAAGATCGGATACTAAAAGATGAAGTCAGATGCTTGAGTGTCTTGAGTTTTTTCTGTAACTGAAATATAATGGTAAAATAACTGGTACAAATTATTAGCCTAGGTACCTTAATTGTACATAGCTCTATGTGCTATGATAAAATAATTGGTGGCAGCTTCATTTCACAAGATTGCATTTTTCATTTGAAGTTTCTAAATTTGGTTTCTAGGTGATGAAGTTTCAGAGTGTCAAGTTACTGATGGCTCTTGCAAAGTTTTTAATGAACAAAAGAAAAAGCACAATGTGGGTTTAAGAAAAACTAGAAGACTCCAAAAGGTCAGTTTAACTGGATGCAGTGTTTGTTAAACTCTTTCTTGGAGAATGACTTGAGTGCCTTTGTATGTGCAAAAAATTAAAAAAAGCATTCTCTATACACTCAATTTTAAAACTGCTGAATCTCACTTTCATTGAAAAGTTAAGCAAATGGTGTTCAAAGACAATACATAGAACCATGGAACTCAGCTTTCTGGTAACTTACGGTGGCAGAATCAGTGCCAAGTTGATGAGGGGATTTAGTACTCCCTCAGTAAGTTTGGATATGACTCCAAATTGGGTGAGAGTGTGGATCTGCTTGAGGGTAGGAAGGCTCTTAAAAAATCAGCAGGACCTGGATAGGCTGGATCCATGGGCCAAGGTCAATTGTATGAGCTTCAACAAGGCCAAGGGCCAGGTCCTGCGCTTGTGTCACAACACCCACTACAAGCCTGGGGGGATGTGCAGCTGGAAAGCTGCCAGGCAGAAAAGGACGTGGGGATGCTGATTGTGACAGCTAGTTGAACATGTCAGTAGTGTGCCCAGGAAGGCCAACAGCATCTTGGCCTGTATGAGAAACTGTGTGGCC